CAAAACGTAGCGTTTTTTAATCGATCGAAACTAGACGATCGGACACGCGAATCTGTCTTCGTGTTTCGGCCGATTCGCGGAGAGAAATTTATCGGGCGCGGGATTAAAGAATCGAAGGAAGGGCGGGCGAACGAGGGCGAAAGCTGTTGTATAAACAGAGGGGATGGCCGAGAATTTCATTAGCAGATTGCTCAATCTGCATTCGGATCGGGGGAGGGGAGGGGGATCCACGCGTCGATCCACTCCTCCGCAAGACCAACACCGGAATTATTCCGCAAAGTGCTCTCTCTCTCTCTCTCTCTCTCTCTTCTAAACGTCGATCCAGGGCTTAGCCCACTTTTCTCCCTCCCGTTAAACCGTGGATTTATTTCCTTTCTCCCCCTCCCCCATTCCGGACTGTTTTCTACTTACTCGCAACTATGGGCCAACAACAACGATTGCTAATAACGCACGTGTCGAAATCTCTCACCTGAAACAGAGCAAAGAACAAGATGTATACATATATGTGTGTGTGTGTGTGTATACGAATATTTTTCGAATATTTTATTTTTGGAACGAGGTTAAGGGGTCGTTGGAAGGGTTGGAATTCGCGTAATGGAAATATCGCCTTTTCAACCCTAGCCTGGGATAAAGTTCGGAAAAGCGTGGAAGGGGCGGTGCGAGGAAAGTCGGTCGAAGGTCGCGACGCGATTGTCGACGCTTTGAGAGAGAGAGAGAGAGAGAGAGGGTGATACGCGAACGATGGCCGGTTTCCTTTGGAGAAGCGTTGCGTTGCAGTGTCCGTTGGAGGGCGCAACGAGGGGTTAATTTGATGTTTATCCGGCGCAGTATCCGCACCCTCTCCCACCCCCTCGCTTTTGTCCCCATTCCGCGGTTTATTAATTTCTTTTTCCGCCCCCCCCCCCTCCCCGTGAACTTGTCTCCTCAACTTTCGTGTTTCGTTTTTGCTTGATTATCGTGGCTCGCGACTTTCAACTCTCTTTTCTCCTTTACGAGAAATTAGAGGGACATTTTCCTTCCGATTCGATTCGTTATACCGTCGATGTAAGAGAAGTGTCGTACGAAATTGGATGCAAAGGATTTTTTAAACATGTAAACAAATATTTCACAATTTTCCTCCCCCTCAAACCAATGAGACTTGATCCCGTATAGCGTGTACAACACCTGCTACGATATCGCGTTTCGTGAATCGGAGAGAAATCAAACCGAACGATTCGTTCGTTCGTTTAAATCTCTGTTGTAGTTTTTTTTTTGTTATAAAAAAAAAGATCCTTTCCGAAGTAAGAAAGTCTCTCGAGAGATTTAGGAACGCGCGTGTAACTCGTATCCCCCCCCTTTCGCCCCTGCTATACATTATTAAAGGGATGGGGTGGAAGAAAAGAATACACGGAGGGAGGGATAGATAGTAGCGATTATAAATTCGCGAGGGGCGGCATACGCTTCGTATTTTAGGCATAAATCGGGATAAATCGTGCATCGTATTGTATATCGCTGGATTCCACGACTCCTTTTTTCGGCTGACCCACTTGCTATCGTTGCCTACCCGTTTCACTTTTTATCACCTTTTTATAAGGAAAATCCTGCGAGAATCGTTCGCGGATAATCGTGTCGCCAGGGGAAAAATGAGAGAACGCCTGCGCATCCTCGGAACGGGGAAAAGTCAAGAATCTGGCTTACGAGTAGAAGAGTTTCGAAAAACTGGGCAGAGTCGTCTCGAGACGATTTTGAATTTTAAGATATAGATACTTTTGGTACGAATATAATAATGGAAAATAGGATAAATCTTTTCTTAAATAAATAATTTGTTATCGAAAGGAATCCGAATACTTGAGACGAACGTTCAAGTATTTTAAAAAATTATTTTAAAAAAATTATAATTATATATGTCATAATTATATATTTGTTATAGAAAAAAATAGAAATTAATAAAAATTCTATGGATGAATCGTGTGGTGTTCGATAAAGAAGAATTTAACGGCGAGCGAACCGCGCGTTGCCCTCTGATTCTAAACACGAATCGAAATTCGTCTTGGAGAAAATCAAAACACAGCGAACGACTTTTGTATCGAGCGCGTGTAAACAGAGTCGGCTCGAGGAAATTAAATTAGTCTGGTTTCGGGCGGTGTCGCGACGTCACGCGTAAATTCCACTCGTGCGAATTCGAAATATTATTTGGTCAAACGCGATCTTGCGAAGCGTGCAACACTTGGGTTGGTGGAGGGAAAGGAGCGTGGAAGGAATTGGATCGAGGCCTTCGAGGTGAGCGAACAGTTTCGAATTTGTTGTACGATAAATAGATATCTGCATTCGTATATAATATGGTGATTATACGTAACGGCGGTTTCGATGCAACATTGTCCATAAATTATAGCAATTACGCCACAATTATATTATATTACAAGGCATAATATACGATTATTCTATACATATCAATTTTGATGACACGAATAAATTTTCTATCTATATTATATTATATCGAGTTCCCGTTTAAATTTCTATACAAATTTTATACTTTAATATTCCTGTTGTTTCGTAATATTTGTCAAATGAAATTTTCAAAATATAATTTTTTGGAATCAAGCTACCATATTATACGAAGATTATGCCTTATTATACATTCTCCCAATTCTTCAACGTTCTATTTTTCGTAAATGTATATTTCGTATATTTCGTTGAACGAAATTAAATCAATAATTTTTCAAGATCCAATCGAAAAAGATCGTTTCGATTCCTCGACGTTTCATTTTACAATTCGTACAAATGTGTTCAGTGTTAAAATTATTGAATCAATAATTCTTATATCATTTGACGTTTTCCTTCGTTATTTTTCAATTCGAGCAACCAATCGAAGAATTGGAACGTTTCGATTCTTCAACGATTCTATTTTACAATTCGAAAATTAAATCAATAATCCTTATACATTGGAAACGTTCGACATTTTCCAATCGAAGAAGGAATCCTTCCTTCCCCACAATTTCGTGTAAAACGAGCGTTGGAAAAGTTAGCAGCCTTCCCCCTCCCCTCGCGCATATGCGCTCTATCCGAGGTGAATCGCTTTTATGCGCCGGAGATGAAGCGGTTCCGTGTCCCCGCCGCCCCGCCCTAAGCTTCATCATCCGCCCTTTGCACGGCGGATTAATTTGGACACAGCGGGGCGCGTGGACACGCGGCTGTCACGCGCGCGCCTTTCCTCCCAAAACTTTCTCCAACCTTTGCCCGCTTGTCGGCTCGCCCGAAACGGAGGTGAAAGCTTTGGACACAGACCCGCTTCCTCCTTTTTCCACGCGAAAAGTTTGTATCGTCGGGGTTGATTTATAGCGAGAATGGAAGAGTATTTTTCTCCCCTCTTTTAGAGAGACGACTCTTGGATATATCGTATTCTATTTCACGTAAAATGTCGCGTGAAATGAAGAAGCGGCGATAAAAGAAGAATCCCACGGCGAGGTAATCATCGAACGAGAACGATTAACCTTTTCTTCTTCTTTTCTTTTCGATCGATAAATCTCGTCCGAAATCATTCGGGTTCCTTTTCGGGAGTCGCTAATAATAAATCGTAAAAACAATCGGCATAGAGAACGATGGTGGAGAGGGGAGAAAAGGGAAAAGAGAGGAGGAGGAAAAAGAGCGATAAGCGTCACTTGTGCGAAGAGAATACGAGAAAATGTATCTCTTTGATGTCCGCATTTTGCCATCTCGAATGAAATTTATTCCCCGGGGTATGGAAACGAGGACGTGCGGAAGGGCGAGCGTAAGCACTTTTTCCGGAAGGACGTGTACATTTTGTGCTCATTTTTCCCCCTCCCAGTTTGTCGTATTAAGAGTTTCCTCGGTCAGATTCACGTTCGGGCTCGTAGTTTATTCAGAGGTTCCGGCTCCCCTCAAATATTTATCCAATTCGATGCTTTCGGTACTACTCGATAACTCGAGTAGTTTGTTACGAATTGGAGGAACGAATTTGAAAACGATTTTTCGTAGACAGAATCGTGACACCTTCTCCTTGATTTTTTGAGGGGAGGAGGAGGGGAGGGGGGGGGGGATTTTTAATCCTCCAGCTGTGGACGATTAAATTCTTTTTCGAGGCTTGTGAAAGAAGTTTCAAAGAAAATTCCATCGAGAGAAGTGCGATAGAGGAGTGTAATGATAAATTGAAGAATGGGAAAAAAGAAAAGAGAAATATATTAGAAAGGAATTGTTCGATATTTGCGCTTCCCCTTGCTCGCCTTGGAATTTCTCTCGATCTCGTTTCCGCGCTGTTAATGTTAATTGATTATTTGAGGTTATTTGTTGCAATCCTCGCGGTCTCGAATCCTTTGTTTCGCGCCCCCCAATTAATTCCCACCGTTCACCGCCCGAAGAGAGAAAATTGCGAAGAGAGGCGGCCAACGCACCGCCCCGTGTCTTCCCCAATTAATCGATCGGTCTGCCGTTTAATTAGCTGGCTTGTTAATCCAAGCGTCTTCGTTAAAATATATTCACCGATAACGCTTATCCGCCGCAAAATTAAAAAACATTGTTCACCGCGGATCTGATTTACACGAAACATTTGTTGCGTCTCGACAGTGAGAGAGATTCGAAATAATTCTAAATTTCCATAACCGACTTTGAAGAAAACTCTGAGAAAACTATGGGAAATTTTAAAATTATTAATACAAAAAGTCGTTGAAAGGTGTCGAAACAAAATTCGATAGAAATCATTTACAGATACATTTGTGTTTATTTGTCGCGCAAAATATCCGACCGCGATATAATAAAAGTCATCGAACCGTGACGGCATATCGGATGATTCTCTCGAAAACAATGTCACCGCCGTGTTTCGCGCGTATCAATCGCAGAGAAAGGAAAACTGAAAACTCGCCGGTTCGGTTCGTAGAATTGGAGCGTAGAATTTTGGAGCGTAGAAAGGAGCTTTGAAGAGAGAGAGAGAGAGAGAGAGATTTTCGTTCATCGTGCAAATCATGGTGACGAATCGGGAACCCCTCCATTCACCCAGGAACTCGATCGGTTAACGATCGAGTTATGGGACGGTATCGAAAACCACGGGCGTCAAACTCGAGCGGCGATTAATCTTAGTCTCGCGCAAACATCGATCCTTTGCTTTGTATACAGGAATACGTAATGTCGAGGGAGCCGCTCTCCAAACTTTCCGACTCTTTTAACAAAGCGTCTCTTTTTCACCCGTTTTATCCACGAGCAACGTACGAGGAAACCTTGGTACACGCTCGATGAAGTCTTGATAAATCGTGTCGATCAAAATTAACGATAATTCCGGTAGAGCAATCTCTGTAGAGGATCTCTCTTTTTATGGATAGAAATTTCGCGAATCGATCGAATTCTCGTGATGAAAGAACAGGTTTAATTCTTTGAAAAAAATAGGAGGAAGGGCAACGATCTACCCGACAGGCATTACAAGTATGCGCTCTATTGTGCTGGACGGGGCTTTTCCCCTCCGTTTCCAGCATTGGCCGTGCTTTTTGTCGCTTCGAAAAAGCACGCGAGCTTTGTAGTTGCAAATTCGAAACGAAGAAAGGTAAAACCGAAGCGGTGGATCGCCATTCGGATCGACGCAACTTGATTAGCCAGCCGGTCGGCTTTGAAACCAAACAGTTTGTTTCCCGAACTGTTTGACGATTCGAGATTTTCCCGTTTGTTGAACAAAACAGCGATGTGGTATTTTTTTCTTCTTCTTCTTCTTCTTCTTCTTCTTCTTCTTCTCTTTTCTCTTCTCTCTCTCCTCTCCCGTAAAGGGAAGCCCCGCCTAATGCTCTTACCATGTAACCAGCACGCTGTATAATCTCGTCGGGAAGACCTAGCAGGGGCATATCTGTCTTTATCTTGGAAGTGGTTGGCAATGGTTTTTCGAGGGGGAGGAAGGGAGCTTTGACTCTTCGATTCTTCGAGAAGGGTTGTTCTTCCATTGATTTTTCATTATACCGGAGGAATCTATTTTTTTTTTTTTTCATTCCCTGCCCATCGATTCCCCTTCTCGTAAATGTAATAATTATGGGAACGCGGAATTTTTTCTTTCTCGAAAGGAGAATCGGTCACATTGATTGCGATTTTCATCCATTTGGAAGAAGGAAAGAGAGAAAGAGAAGATGAAAAAGACGAAGACGAATCGAGAATAATTATGTGTATACAAAATTTTCATATTAGCTTGACTTTTATTATTTCTGTTTTGCAAACAAAGGGTTAAACGTGTCCTTTCGAGAGGAGAAGATGCACGAGACTCGTTAATCTTCGCCCATATATCTCCAATTATAAAGCTTCCATTAGCCATTAGGATATTAAAGTTCGATGCAAAAGATAATTTATTATTTTCTATCTCGATGATCCTCTCGATGTCGATAAATTTAATAATAAATTGCAGCGATTCACCATAAACGGAAAGAACGGTTTCTCGTGATTACGAAAAATAAATAAGAATCAAGGTCGAGTGGCATCGTAGAATTCACATTTTTTATTCTCCCTTTTTTTCGACCGGTCGAAAATCGAATAATATTAAATGCATGTAATGGCGCTCCATGGTCTCGATATATATATATATATTGGCGATGTATCGGCTCCGGCCGGAAGCCACAGCCAACGGTTATATCGATCTCACGTGCGCGAGAGAGCGGACCTCGTGTCGCGAGCAATTTGTAGCTTTGAATTATTTCGAGCCTGTGCCTCCGGCAACCGAAGTGATCGGCCATTTTGAAGAGGGGGGCGGTGGTGGTATCGCGGCTTCCATCGAGGTCGTCTCGATGCTCGATCGCTCGTGCTTAATCGCGCCTTCTTGCCACCTCTTATCTCCCCATTATTATCTCGTAAAATCGCGAAGGCGAAGTTTTTCGGAATTGCTCCATTCCCCGCCTCTAATAAAATTTTAACTTTCGAAATCACGTTATCCGATGTTATCCGATTTTTTCCCCATTTCCTCGTTACACGATGAAATTTTAACCAATGGAATTTTGGAATCAACGATATTGCGAATTCTATCTTGGTAATTTTCGCATAATTATAATAATAATAATAATAAGCGATTCGGCTGAAAAAATCTTTCGATGACAAATTTATTGATATATATTTCGAGGAAGCCGTTCGACTCGAAGCCGCAGATGTATCCAGACATCGAAACTTATCTCGAAGAAGAAATCATTCCCGAAGTGAAATCGAGGCGGCGAGAAACCGAGAAGATGGAAAAGAGGGGAAAAAATCGTCGAGCCACGCGGATTTCTCGCGATAATGGAGAATAGGGACGGGTCTGGCGCGAATAGAGACAGAGTCATCGATTGTCGGATCGGTTTCCGTGACTCGTTTCGAAGGAAGATTCGATCGGAGAAACGGTTGAGCAGAGACGGACAGGTTGCTCGAACTGGTGGTCAACTGGTGGCATCCGAGCATCCGATTCGATGAGAACCGGAATCTACTTGCAAATCGGGATTTAATAGAATCCATCCCCCATCGAGGAGGAACCCGTTTAACCCGTTTGCCCGTTGAACGAAGAATAAACTCGGTGTTGGAAACTCGGGGTGAGTGCGTTTGACGAAACGTTGTTGAAAATTCGCGGCGGGAACAAAATTAACGAAGAGAGGCGTTGCCTGCGTGTGTACGGAAATTGGTGCAGAAAATTCGGTCGTTCAAAGGAGCGCAATTTCGATGGAAAAATCGGCATTTTTACACACGTCGACGGCTTTTCTTTCTTTCTTTTTTTTTTGGATTGGAGGAGGAGGAGGAGGATGGAAAAAAAAAAGGAAAGAGAGATAAAGCAGATAGCGGATTTCGGGAACGATTCGGGATAGATTTTTTTTCTCGGATGGTTTTTTTCTCTGTTTTTCGAGAGGAGGAAGGAGGAGGGGAAATTTTATTTTCGATCTCGGATCGACTCCTTCCTCCCCTCCTCCCCGTTAATCTCGGTCGGGAAACGATCGGGCGATTTTTCCAACACCCGCGCAACACCCGCGACAAATCGAAGCAATCGCGGTTCTCCTACGTGACCGATCGTAAACCCGAGATTGCCGCCAGATATCGCGGATTCGGACCTCTCCCGAAACGAATTTTTTTATTCGAGGTTTCGAGGCATTCGTGTGCGCGACGTGAATAAAAAAGGAAAAAGAGAGAGAGAGAAAAAGGAGAGCCACCCCTCGTCCCTTTATTATTTGCGAAAAAACGCGTCGAAGGGCGTAGAGGATCTTTGGAAAGATTTGACGAAAGGATGCGAAAATCGAGAGACGAATGGAAAAAGAATTGGAAAATTAGTGGAAAGTCGTCGTCGGGCGGAAAACGAAAATTAATTCTCCTTGGATCATCGCGTTCACGAGTCTGTTCGAGTGTCTCGGCCACGGGCTTAACAATATCGTGACGGCGGACGTGGCGGTCGTTAAAAGTGGCGTCACGGCGACTCAACCCCCCAATTTTCCGGAAATTAACGTGACGCGGAATTCGTTCGTCTTACATCATACCGATAAAGCCCCGCGCAACGTTTTGATCTCTCGGGGGCGGCGTCGTGGCTCGAACGTGGCGCAATCCCTCTGGTAAATTCTCCCTCTTCTCTTTTTAATGGGAAATCATCCCCCTCGACCCTTGAATTTATATCGATACGTTTTAAATTGGAGATGGATTATTGAGGTAATTTATCTTTCTCGTTAAACCTTGTAACGCTGACAGGTGAGAGCGACAGTCGGATGTTGGTCGGATCTCTATCTCGTGACAATTAATTTAATTATCGATCCCGTTTCGTTGGTGAGGAAACCAATCGATTATTAATTATCATCCTATTTCTGGAGAGGTAATATCTCTGTTCCGAAATGTTCTCCAAAATGGAAATGCTTTATCTCATTCTCCGATCTGCTCGATGGAGATCACGATTCGATTCGGGAAGGAAGGAAGGAAGGAACTGGATGGACGCAGAAGGAAGAGAAGGGAACGCAGGCAGGGAGAGGCGTGAAAAAGCGTGGATGGATCCCCCCTGTTTCGCGATTGGGCAGTGGCCTGATTTTCACGGTCGACCGGTCGGTAGATGGATCAGGTATAACCCCTCCCCTCCTTTTCATAGGTGACCGTGCGCGATTCGTTGTAGCGTCGAGAGAGAGAGAGAGAGAGAGAGCTGCCTGTGACGGGGAGATATGTCCCGCTGAATTTCACGATCGCGTGATTTTACACTTGGATGCGGGAAAGGCTGGAAAGCTTCGTTGCTCGGCCGGAAGAAATGCTCGGAAAATAAATGCTCGGAGGATTAACGCGCGATTCTCCAAAAATATATATATATATATTTTTGCGATTTTGGAGGAAATTGTTCGTTGCAAGAATTTTCGTCGAGAACGAAAAAAAAAAAAAAAAAAAAGAAGAAATACGCAAACGCGTGGGAAGTTTGAAAATTCGGGCAGAAACTCGACGTTTGACAAGATCGCACGTGTTTAAAACCTCGAGGGGAGCCTCGCCAATCAAACAGACTTATAATCGAAACAGCTCTCTTCGTTCTTCCCCTTTCGATCGAATCTACGATTCTCCAAAGCTCACTTCCTCCTCTCGTTTTCGACGTTAGTTCGATGAGATTGATAATTGTGAAGCGGTTGTGATTGGGATTAAACGAAGAGGGATACGATCACATAAAATGCGATCTCTGATCAACGGGCCGGTTCGTCAACCGTGAGACGTGCAAACCGTGGCGAACACGCCCCTCCCTATCCGTTGGACAAGCCCCTATCCGTGACAACGTTCTGTCAACGCGGTGGCGACAGGAACATGGTGACGCTCGGTGCCCGTTTCCGGCCGCACGTGGCGGAAGTTTGCCGCGTTTCACCTGCGCCCATTCCTCCACAATCCCCTAGCGGCGGATCATCGAGATCGAGAGCGCGATCCGTGGTTTCCTTTCGATTCGATTTCTCTGGAAAATTGACCCGGATCGGTTCCGGGGAAATATTCTCGGATCGGAGAGATTGTTTTCGTTGACTGGCGAAGGGATAAAAGAAAGGAAGAGAAGAGGATTTTTGCCAAATAATTGGAAACGAGCGAATTGAAATTATCGTTTGGCATCCGATCGATGAATCGTAATCCTCGTCGATCGAGTTGATTCGTCAAAGAGAGAAAGAGAGAGGAGATTGGGAAAAAGGGAGGGAAGAATGATGGCGGCCGATTCTCTGTTCCGTATCCGCGAGCTCGTAATTTGTCATCGAGCCGCGACGTGTGTAAATGCGGCGTGTTCGTCGAGAAGCCGCGGGAACCGCCCGACGAGTTTCGAAAAAAAGAAAGAAAAAAGAAAAAAAAGAAGAAAAGAAAAAGAAAGGAAAGAAAGAGGCTTCCACGCTAGGCTAAGGGGGAGGGGAGGGTGATTAATTCGCTTTTTCGGTATCCCGTTGAAATGTTGCGCGCTCGACATTGCGCGCCATTGTTACGGCAGGGTGATAAAGGAAGGGAAGAGCGATGGATCGTGAGGGAGATTTGACGAAGAAAGCGACAGACTTTCTTCCCCCCTTACTCGAGGATCGATTCGGGTCCTCGAGAATTCGGGTCACCGGCTGTCATTTTTTTAATGGCTCTCTATCTTTCGTTCTATTTTTCTTTTTTCTTTTTTTTTTCTTCGAAAGTGAGATTGTGCTTCGAAAGGGGGAGGGGCGAGAATTGTTGCTTTCGTAAATTGTTGTCGAGAGATTTCTTAATCCGTCTGCCTTTCGTTTTTTTTTTTTCACGCTTTCACGAAAATTTTAAAATTCGAAAAATTATATCAATTATGCTTGAAAATCTTAACTATTCCTTTCTTTGGAAAATGTTAATCTCATTTTCTAACAAATCGTTCTAACGCGTTACGCTTGGTTACAATATTTACAAACGTAATATTCAATTAATAAAATTCTATTTCTCTTTCGCGTTCACGAAAACGTGAAAACGTGAAAAAGAAGGGGAAATTCGCGTTGGAATCGATGGGAGAATCGGGCTGGGTAATATATATTTTTTTTTTTTTTTTCTCGAAAAATCATTTTAAATCGTATTTCATTACGTGGAAACGGTTTTATCTAAAGGGAATCTTTTTATCGCATTATGACCCGTGAATAATAAACGGTGACGCCACTAGTCACATTAACGAGCGTTAAATGCATTTATAATGGCGCGTATGCCTGAAATTTTCCCATCGCTGAATTTGTTATTCCGTGATCGTGCTCGGCCGGATGTTGCAAAAGAGAGAAAATTATCGAATTAGGGGATACCATTGTTGTACATTTTGTCGAGTCTCCGCATTTCGCGCCATTTTCCCGCCATCCAAAATTTTCCCGCCCGAAATGACGAAATCGTTTAATTTATCGGGGGATTTATGCCCGAGGAAGAGAGGCAAAAGAGAAATACGTAGAGGCGGGAATTTCGAAAACGAGTATACCGGCATAGCGCTATTTCTGCCATCGATTCGAAATATAAATTTCCAATTAATTCGCGTTGGCCGATTAAAAGTGCAGAAGGGAGGGGGAGGGTGAATTATGGTAACTCGATAACGCGGCCAACACCGTGCATTCCCACCGCAAAAATCGGTCTGTGAAATTAATCGTGCCGCGAAATTTTTCACCCTTGCCTCTCGATTCGTTAATTTATATCGAAGATCGCGTTATCGCGTTTAATCAATTTTCCATCGATGCAATCGCGATACATGATGTAAAATTTCTTCCGATTTTTCGACTCGATCGATCATAAACGTCGCCCCGTTAATGTTGCAACGAAAATATTCTCGCTTCAAAAATTCTTAAACAAAGTTCCAAGAAGTGATGCGAAGATCGTTTGGAAGAAACAAACTTTCTTCCAAACTTGTTTCCCATCGCCGCTTATCATCCTTCCGATCGACGTATCCCTAAATCTTGGATAATGGGGCGGGACACGTGGTGTTTCAGTGGTAAAGTGGAGGCACGCGCACGGTACACGTTGTTGGATTCCTTTACATCCGTAAAGATGAGTTAAACCGATTGGATCGGCGTTGTAAGAGGCAGCTGTTCCCTCAATGATAAGCACGGTTATTTTCCAGGTTATCCGAATCCCAGTTATCGTAAGTATTCGGGTAGTAAAAACTCTACAACTGTGTTATACGCAACTTTGTTTATTCCTCAATAAATGTTGGGATCTATACGTGGTTGTTGTTCAAACCCGTTTAAAAACCCGCTTGATAACCCGGGGAGATATTTCATATATTGAAATCTTTCTTTTTTATCTCTCTTTCTCTTTATCGAAGGAATAATGACAACCACTTTCTCGCGAGATATCGGGCAAAGGGATTAGACGGATCACAGGGGGAGAATCGATTTATATATAGATATACGAGCTACATCTCACTGTCGAGATGTACGAATGGACAGACACCTTCTCCAATTCGTATTGAATTTGCCACTCATTCGAATTGAATGGGGCGACATTCTATTCTATCCCGTCCATCGATCATTTTATCCGAAATAATAATTGGATTTCTGTATATAGTATATATATACGTAATACGAAGAGATGGAAAGATTCTTCTGAGAAATAAGAGGCACACGAGTAATTTCATTTGGAAAGCTTGATTTTCAAAATAATAATAATAATAATAATAATAATAATAATAATAATAATCGATAAATATTTTCGATTAAAGAAACGAGTGATCCTGCTCGTTTCATCTATTCTGCTTTCATAGAAGATTTCATAAAAGTATCGGTTGGATCATCAAACATGGAGTTTAGTAATCGAAATTAACGACTCTCTTCTCACTTTCAATTTTCTTCTTTCCTCTCCAAATTACGAGCCTCGATCGCTTTTTTACGGAGGAGATCGAGCGGCGAATCGAAGCCACAATCTGCAAATTAATATTCAAATTGGTCGAAATGTGTGTGTGTGTGAATCAGATCGCATAACTCTGCGAGAGAGTATTGGAAAGTACAGGAATCGTAACGTCGATCTGGTTTCTTGCACGCTTGTTTCGATATGCTTAATAACACAGAGAACTGCGAGAAATCAATTTGGATGAGAGGAGCTACGCGTCGTCTTATTAAGGATGTGTCGAGATTAAACAAATCTTCTAAATAGAGATTGAAAGATCGATCTAAAAACTGTTGTTTGTTTAATAACGATATTGAAATTTAATTTCGACGCCAAAGTTGCGAATTTCCGTTGTTTTCTTGAACGTTGGAAAAAGAGGAAAAAAGGGGAAAGATTGGACAAAATTGGTTAAAAGCAGAACTGTAGAAAATTCAATCTCGATGTAACTTTGAAATAGGAATAATAACAATAAGCGAGTAGAAAAATTAAATTAAATGGGACGAATCGGGTGAAAAAAATCAGGATCCAAAGTAAATGAAATTTAATCCCGATACGACCAACTCTGCACAATGTCCACGATGATATCCAGGTTTCGAAGACGCGTCGATGTTGAAAGGAATCGATATTCGCGAGAAAGGAAAGGGAGGAAAAAAAAAAAAAAATGGAACGATAAGTGGGCGGAGCGTTGGAAGTCACGGTCTTTTCCAGAATGGAAGAAATAAGATTCGCGTGCCTTTTATCCTCGAGAAGATAGAAAACGAAAAGAAGAAACAGGGAGCGAATTCATCGGTTATTCCGCTTGATCGGAATTCCACGGACCGAAGTCGTGGCGGCGATGAGCTTTCGCTTCTCCCTTGTAAAATCAACGAATTGTATCGCGTGCTTGGAAAGCGAAAGGAGGAGAATGGACGAGAAGAGGGAACAAACGAGGCAAGACGTACGACGATCTTCTTCTTCTTCTTCTCCTTCTCATCCTCCCTGATTCTCTCCGATTCTCTGCTGGAAACTAGACAATCTCGTTTTACTCGCCAATCTTTAGTGGCGTCGTGCCTACAAGTTATTCTAATCGAGTCGAGAAGAACGCGACGAAGAATTCACTTGCCTCTCCCCATCGATCACGCACGATCTCGTTTCACACGAGGGAGGAGTGTCTTGGGGGGGAAAAGAGAATATTCGAGAGGAGGATTCGAGGAGGCGTCTCTGCTCGACAAAGAAAGAGCCCAGGGACGTTTAAATCTCTGTTCGAACAAAACGTCGGGATAACCCAGGGGAGTGGGCCGGCCCTAATTGCGAGATAGCGGCGCGACATGGTGGCGGATGCGAAGATTATGTGGAGCACGTTTGAATCGTAAAGAGGACAAAGGAAACGGCGTGTCCTCTCCGCATTGCGGTAATTTAGTTTTCGACCACACCTCGGGGACGGAGATTATTTTTCGCGAGAATTTCTCTCGATCGACTTCTCCTCCCTCCCACACCGAAAAGATTCCATAAAAGGAGGAGGGGGGTGTCAACACGTTCGAGCACGTGTTCTAATTCGATCAATTTTCGATTCGATATATTTCGATCATACCTTAAATCGATCGAAATCCAAAAGGATATCAAAAAGATGATGTCTGTACAAATTTCCATTTGTATTGGTAATACAAAAATGTGTAGAATACAGCGTAGCACAGCAGTGTCGAATGAAGAAAAGGGAACCAATTTTATGAGTGAAGAGTCTCCTCCTCCCCGTTTGCTTTTCTGTCGAACGTATTTTTTGAAAAATTAGAATTCTGCCCCGAAGCAGAATCGTTGTCGTTGTTCGCCGACATTTGAAGCTCGACCATTTGGATCGATCGATCGATCGATCATCTCTCGAGCTTCTCTCTTCGTATGTAAGAACAGAGAGAGAGAGAGAGAGAGAAAGAGAGATGAATCTGACGGCGGGAACACTTGGAAAGAACTGCCCTTTAAGTCGGATTAAGGGTATGAATATTAATAGTCCGAGGTTGACCTCTCCCCTCGATGAAGTTGCTCGTTAAAAAGGAATAATCGAGCAACCAGGAATGGAACCAGGTTGGGACGAATATTTTCCTCGTTCCCCCCCTCTTTCGTCCCCCATTCGTTCCGCGGAAAGTATTTGAAACAACGGGGGAAATTTCAACGCGATCGCTTTGTTGCGTTCTCTGTTCACGATTGTGGCGGCATCCACCGTAAGCAGGAGTGGATATTCTCCGCCAGCGTCGTAACTTTTCCTTTGAGCCAACTTTTCGTTTCGAACGTTGGCTACAAAAAAAAAAAAGAATTGCGAGGGGCGCAACTAAAAGGTGCGTTAAAAGACTCATTAAACGTTTAAAAAAGAAGGAAAAAGGAAGAAGAGAAAATGGAGAAAAAAAGAAAAAACAGTCAACGCGAAAATCGGAGCGCCGGTTGGAAGTAACAGAGCGCTCGTGGACCCAGTTTTCATTCGGCTAAAACCTCTTTTTTTACTTAGCCTTATGAATAATCAAGGCTGAATAATCGATACTCGACCCTTTTGCCATGATTAGACGCGCTCTCTGGTTATTCGTTGTCCCCCGTTTAAAACCGGTCTCATTCGTATCCCACGGAATAGTTATTTCATACGTTCGTTCGGATTTTGAAAACAAAAATAAAAAGAAAAGATGGAAAGTAAAGATAATAAAATAAACATTTGAAACGATCGAACGTATCGTTGTTCCATAGATCGTGTCTTCTCGTCGGGATCGTTCGTCCTTAATCTCGTTCTCCATCGAGATATCACGAGATGAACAATTTTGAAACCGCGTGATTTATTACGATTCTTCGCGTGTACTCAATTCGAATTTAGAAATTCAACGCAGAGGAGAGAAATGGCGGCGAGGAGAGAGAGGGGTGTAATAACGAAAATGGAATTCGAAGGTGAGAGCATCGCGTTAATCGTTTTCATCCAATTAAGAAGCGGCCTTTTTCACGTTTCATTATTTTAAGAGCGACGCCGTTCTTCTCGAGCAGATCGAACCAAGTCGCCGGAGTCTCGAGTTTCGCGTCGGGTCGTTTATATCCGCGCCATTTTCCAACCCGTTTAATCCCGGTAATGCGAAACAGTAAGGTATCCGCGAGCGAGGAGAGAGGGAGAGAGAGAATCGGGCCAGCTATCCGCGCAAAACTGTTTTACGGTGTCGCCGCGTCGTTTCGAGAGTTCGATAGGTCGAATAGCCCGTCGAGGGCAGACGCCCAAGGAATTGCATTTGAAATTGTAATACTTCTCTATCCTTTCTTCCTTCCTTCCTTCCTTCCTTTTTCTTTTTCTTTTTTTTTTTTTATGGATCCTTGAAGATACGAGATTTTTCTTTCGTTTCCGCTTGAATTTCCTCCGGTTCTCGTGTATATATATATATATATAGGATTGTTGGATAGGTTAGGTTCGATGAGCAGTCGCGTGATTCACTTAAAGAGTGAGTTTACGGTGCAGAGTGTAGAGCGTATTCGAAGATTTGACACGTTTAATGGGAACGTTGAAAAATGGAGGAGGATCCTCCTGATACGGGGTGGATACGGAATTTTTGATACGCGAAATAAATAGTGTAAGTGCAACGAGATCGAAAAAGAAGTGGCGACGCTCGTGTGCAAATGGAAGCTCGTTTTATATTTTTTGTTGGAGGAGCAAATGAAGCATCGCCGTGGAATAAATGTCATCCGTCATTGAATGCGTTAACCTTTGAACCATCTCGATATCTAAACGAATTTTCTAAATTCTTCGCCAGTTTTTCGAAAACTTTTAACTTTTATCCTCGTCCTCGATGGTAATCTTTCTCGGGGATGACGAGAGAGAATTAGATTCGTCAGCTTTTCGCCGTACCTCCCCCCTCCCCCATCGAACACAGTTGGAACACGCGAAAGCATCGACGAAGGCAATCGTCGAAGAAATTCGCAACGAGTGAAATGTTGGATAGAATAATAATACTTGGAAGAATAATCGAAGACGATCGGTCGGATAGGCAAAGGATCCTTCTAAAGATCCTTCTAAATACCAGACAGCTCAGAGTCTCGTAAAACCGCGGATCCGAGGTTGTTTAGTTGGAAGTAGGGATGGCCGGCTTGTCGCGTGGTCGTTGCCTAATCGTGCCTCTAATCCATCGTGATCGTGGCTTGGTGATCGGCCGCCTCCAGGATTAGCCGGGAAGATTAATCGATTCGGCAGCACGCGATTCGTACCTCCTATACCGTGACCAGATCATTTGCTACCTTTCATTTTATACTTTAAATCGATGCTTCTCGTTGCTTAAATACGCTTAATTACGAGAAGTTTGCTGCTTATTATTATTATTATTATTATTTTTCAATTTTTCATTTTTCACGCGTGCTCGTCAATATTATATATATCGTTTGCATTTTTCCTTTGCCACTTTCGACCATGTATTATTTATCATTTACAACTATTCTTCGCGCTTATCGAAAATCAACGTTCATCGCCCCCTGGAAGATACAGTTTCTTCATTATTTTTACACTTCAAATCATCGACGGTTCTCGCTTATGAAAAATTGTTGTTATTAGTATTTTTGGATAGGAAGGATATAAAGATGTGTATCTTCCAATAAGACTATCCAGATTTTTCATTTTTTACGCGTGCTCGTCAATATTATATATCGTTTGCTATTTTCGACCATGTATTTATTTATTATTCACAACTACAGCTTTGCGCTATCCTCAATACAATTTCTTCATTATTTTTGAACATATATAATATATAAATATAAAGACGGGTATCCTTTCAACAAGATATTTTTCATTTTTCACACGCGTGTTCGTCGATATTATATACGTATCTTTTGCATTTTTTCTCGAAACCACGGGTAACCACGAGTCCGCGACGAGTAAAAAGCGAGAAGTCGAAGGAGCAGCAACAAGTACCTGAACCTGAACTATACATCGGAAATAATACGCATTAAAATTCGCCGATCCCCCTCGACGAGAGAGAGGGTTTGTTAGCGCGAAATTTTCGACTACCTCCCCTCCTTCTCTCTCATTACTTCATTGTTGCCGGGCAAAGGGTCGGCTGCTACTCGAAACGGAAATTTCGCGTAATTGCGACGAAACGAAGGAGGAATAGGAGCGAAAACGAACAAGTGAAACCGTGTTTACTTACGATCTTGCTCGCGTCTCTCGATCCCCCAACAATACCCCGAGTTTCGACTCGTTACAACGAACAAACGCGCGTTTTTCAAGCCACGATTTTCCGACCGTGAACACCTTCCTCCTCCCCCCATTCCTCGTTGTTA